TAATGGGCGACATGAATGCCAAACTGCCAGGAGTGGACAACACAGGAACAGAACTAAATATGAGTCAAGAAGAGGTAGTTGGAATGAACGAGAATGGAGAATTGTTTGCAGAATTCTGTGCATTCAACGATTTGGTGATTGGAGGCAAGCCACTATGTTGAAGCACAAGCATATTCATTTAGTGACATGCATTTGATTTCACCAGATGAACATACTACACTAAAAATCAGATCAACTTCATCTCAATGTGAAGAAAGTGGAGACGCAGCCAGCCTACTGGACACAAGATCAGATGAAGAAGGGGAGCAGATGTAGGCTCAGACCACTGACTATCTAGTGCAAGGCACCTACCTGCAAAATCAAGTTGAAAGCCTTCAATTCAAGGAAGTTGGTGATAGACCAGAGTTGAAGTTGAACACCCAGAAGGGAACAGCGACTGAAGGACGAAACTACAAGGGACATCTTCACGTCAGCCAGCCATCAAGACAAAATGGGAGATATCGAGCAACAATCCCTGAACAAACCTGTGTGGATGAAGACTAGAAGTCTTTGAAAGCTAGATGGAAAGCGACCTGCACAGCCGTATTAAGAAGGAAGAAGAAGAGGCAAGATAAGGAATGGATCTCAACGGACTTCCACATGGAAGCTGATGGAGGAGGGAGAGAATGATGGTGATGGTGATGGTGATGGTGAAGTAGTAGACAAACCAGTGCAGTGCAGTGCAGGGATGAACGACGAGAAGAGGAACTGAGTACAATGTATAAAACACTCCACTGGACAAAGAAGTGAAGAAGAGTGTGTGCAAAGACAAGAGACACTTCTACGACACACTGGCAAGTGAAGCAGAACAGGCTGCAGGTAGAAGAGACAGAGACCTGACAACATTGCATCAAATAACCAGGTTACTATCTGAAAGGGAAGAGATCAACACAGATGAAAGCAATAAAAGATGAAGAAGGAAATCTAATTAGGAAAGAAGAGAAACAAAAGAAACGATGGACCGACCACTTCAGAGAACTCTTGAGTCGACCACCACCACCTGCACTTCATCCAGAACTACCACCTGCAGCCACAGGACTACAAGTGAACACAAATCCTCCAACAAAAGTCAAAGTACTGAGTGCCATAAAGCTACTGAAATGTGGGGAAGCAGCAGGACCAGATGGAATCCCACCTGAAGCACTGAAAACAGACCCGGGAACAACAGCGGACATGCTCACACCACTATTGCAGAAGGTTTGCAAGGAAAGAAGGAAAGCTACCTACCTGACGATTGGAAGAAAGGCTACCTTGTCAAACTCCCAAAGAAGAAGGGCGACCCAAGTCTTTGCAAGAAGTGACGCGGAATCACTCTCTGTCCACCCAAGGCAAGCAAAATATTAAGCCGCATCATCCTGGAGAGGCTAAAGGATGCGTTAGATTCAAAACTACGACCGGAACAGGCTGGCTGGTTTCAGGAAGTACAAATCATGTGCGGACCAAATTGCAACACTGCGCTACGCATCATCATAGAACAGAGCATAGAATGGCAGTCAACCCTCTACCTCACCTTCCCCAACTTTGGAAAAGCCTTCGACAGAGAAGTAATTTAGCAACCGCCTCAACACCACGGAATACCACAAACCTTTATCAACCTCATTCAACAACTATATGAAGACACCACATGCCAAGTAATTCACAATGGGAAGCTCAGTGATGCCTTTGAAGTGAAGACAGGAGTAAGACAAGGCTGCTGCCTACTATCACTGATCATCTTCCTGATTGTGGTGGACTGGATCGTGCAACAAACAGTGAGAAGCGAGAAGAGGAGGATTCGCTGGACCGATGACCTGTAACTTGTGTCTAATGTCACACAAAATTGAAGATCTACAGGCGAAAACTAACAAGTTGACAGAAGAGGCGAGGAAGGGAAGACGGGACTTCAAGTGGATGTAGAGAAGACACAGATGATGATGATACCCAACCAACAACAGCAACAACAAACACAAATCACCATCAACGGGAGAAACTTAAAGGAAGTACTAGCCTCTATCTAGGCAGCACTGTTTCAACTACAGGCGGCACAGACACAGTTGAGGACGTCAAAACCAGCGAGGATCGGGAAAGCAAGACAGGCCTTCATTAACCAACCTGAAACCAGTGTGGAGATCTACTGCACTCAGCATAAAGCGTGTACAACACCCGGATTTTCAATACCAATTCAGTCAAGTCAGTGCTTCTATGTAATGGCTGAGAGACTTGGCGCGTTACGAAAGGCATTTCCAACAAACTACAGACATTCATCAACAACTGCCTACACTCATTACTGAAGATCAGATGGCCTGAATAATAAGAATAAGCAACAAAGAACTCTGGCTGACAACGAACCAAACAAGAACCTATCACTCAACAAATATGCAGAAGGAAGTGGAGATGGATTGGATTGGACATACACTGAGATCATTTGGGGACATCACGCGCCAGGCACTAGAGTAGAACCCAGATGGGAAACGACGAGTTGGGCATCCGAGGCGAGGGTGACAAGGAGGAGATCGTGTGAGGAAGAAATGAGAGCTTCTGGGCTGTCGTGGAGCCAGGTTCAAAAGACTGTAGAGAAGAGAGTGCAATGGAGGCGTGCTACTGAAGCCCTATGTTCCACTAGGAACCCAAGGGAAAAATAAATAATACAGGTTCCTTGCTGCTGAATCTCGTTGAGGCGTTCGGTTATAGAAACTCACTGCATAAATTTTCACACCGCGCTTTTTCTTTTATTTTAACCGAAACAGTTTGTAAGGTTTGTTCTAGTGTTTGATTTATCCAGTGAGTCTTTCGCTGTTCATCTGATTTTAGTAGGGTTGGTCATATTTTTAAGGGTATTTTCCATATGACTGAAAACATCCTGTTCGTGAGGAGCAACTGAATAAGATTGTTCTATTTTGACAGCCTAGGTGACACAAAGGGCTAACGAATACATCGTGTTCGATGCAACCCAGTACAGGTTTACTCCTTAGGATGAGCAACATTAAATGAGGTGGATTTCGACAGGATCTGGATGACCACAGAGGAGCGGATGCAACAGGACTAAAAAATCCATCTGGTCAGACCTATATCTATCCCACCTTCATACATAGACCACTATAAGTTGTATTTTCGTTATTTTCTGGAACATTTATTCTCCTAGCTTTACAAGCAACTTAGTACAAGATTCTTTGAGCACGAGTTGTACAGAATCCTCATTGTCTCTGAACTTCACCGACTTTCTGTTTCGAGGTTTGCTCCAAATAGTTCCGCGCTAGATAACAAATAGTTGTTCGCAATGTAGGTCACGATGGCTTTCTTAATTACATTCCCCCAGATCTTCACTACAGTATTTGTAATCTCTACCGACCCATAATTTGATCGATAATGCAAATAATCTGGTTTATCTATGCTTCGGACTGTGATGTCCTTCTATCCCCTTGGTAGTAAACATTAACCAAGGGCTAGGGCAGAGAACCAAGGAGTGGTTACATGGATTACGAGATTTGGTAACAGCCTACGTGTGAATGCCGTACAAACAGAAAGATGACTTCCGAATGTCATCTTAGCGGACGGATATAGAATCTCACTTATTCCCCTCATATTTTTGTGAATCTCTAACTGTTGCATCAACATTTACGCTTATTTTCTGTCGTCTTTCATTGGACGGAAGGCTTTAACCTCACGTATCAGAATATTAGTGTATTTTTTGTATATTTAGCAGGAGCCTGTTAGTACATTTTGTTTCGGTTTGTTTGAGTTTCAAGTGTAGTCGAGAAAAGCCTGCTGCCAAAGAAATGAAGTGTTTTCGAAAAATCTTATTTAAGAATGGTTAGCCATTCCAGTCAAAGGGACGAAATGTAACCCCAATATAACCTATAAATTACCATTACCGAACCCTAGATACGAGAGTGAATTCAAGAATATGCTTCAGAAGTGCCTATCAAAAACTATAGAGAGTTTCATATACATTATCAATCCAAGTTTTCATTTTTATTTTTACTACCAACTCCGATTATTTTGCAAAAGAAAAACTGGGAAATAGGGACATAAATATGCCTAAACAGATTAGGCAAACTGTAGTGATAGGCGAATCGTTCACCATGAAAATCTATTCCCAGTTGCTATGTCATGCAACATATACTCAAGGCTTTTCAAAAAAACCACACACGAGTAACCTACGTACATATTTCGAAACAAGTGACAGTTTGCGTGAACTGCAACTTAATCTATGGGCAACTATGTCTTGGTTCATAGGCTTATCAAGTTCTCATATTCAGAAACGTTCCGGTTGTTACATGATATTATACCCCCTTTCAGTTCTATTTTTGTCACATTGGCAACATGGACGCTGACTAAATACACACAAGGTATTTCATATTTGGCTACAACCGTACAGCCATATATATAATTTTGCGATAATCAAATCCGGCCGCATACCCCGATTTTCATTAAATCTCAATCACTACACACGTGTTTTTCTAAAGTCACTTCTTATTGCTCCCAAAAAAAATGAAATTCTTCTTTTGAGCCGGTGGTTAGAATAATTCAAAGTTTGCATGCGCTCCTAACGCTTACATCTTGATGTACCACGACAGAACTTACCGTCTGTAGACTGATATCGCCTCATATATGTTGTCACATCCCAGCCAGGGCCTTCGGAAATTTAGACAAAGGATGGGGAAAAGATCAGTCACCAAACTGTAGTGGTCAGTCAGATGATATTGTAAACATTAAAAGACGTAAAACCAGGGTATGCGAATATAAAGCTGGATCGAAAAGAGATCAAGTTACAAAGCTAATCAGGCGTTACAGTCAATGAACTAAAGCTAGTGTTGTTTGGACCTAATTTTTAGTTAAGCTGACTATGGTAATCTAGTAGCTCACTTTTAACTCAATGTACTGATGCACGTAAAACTGGAGACAGATACTACATGAACAAAATCCACAGCCTGATAGAGATCTAATAAACTACAATTAACAAAATGATGGAATATAACGAATTCTTACATAAACATTTATTATTTTTCCACTAAAATCAAAAAGTAGATAAAATGATCAATTATACAAGTTTGAACAATGCAATACAACCTCAATTCAAAGTTTTCAAAAATAAAAAACAGCATACACAATGTAATTATCGTCAGCAGACGAGCCTGATAAACCATTAAGTGCATCATGTAGACTATTACAGTTCAGTTTCTTAGCTGCTAGATGAGTGTGAATCATTCGAAATCACATTTTTCAACTTCCATGACTTGATAAGGGATGGCCAAAGAAGTTCAGCATTAGAGCAGGCAGGACAAGGAGTAGATAATGGCAAAAGATATGAGATATGTGACTGAGTAAAATGAGATGTAGGCAAATCACTGACTTGACTCATGTACTTTGCCAAACAAAATATATGCCATTGGCCGAGAGGACAAGAACTAGGACACATAAGCGGTAGTGAGCGATCAACCTGTAAAAAACAACAATCTTATTAGGAAAACAATAGAGCACGAAAATGAGAGAAACGAAATATCTATGTTATGATCATCAACAACATCAAGATAGGATGAGGCATTCCTCCATAATGGTCTGAATTGCCACGTCATGTCAGCACATCAAGCAAAAAAGCACTAAGATGAAAGATAAAGCAAATCAAGAAAAACCAGTCAAAGATTGTAGAAAGAGAGGAAAGGAGAGTAAGAAAAATACTGGATTTGGTATGACATATAAGGTGAGGATAACATGTGGGTACATCTACATCATTGACATTTGTTCCGACCCACACTACCCAGGATCTCCAGCCACTCGCTTCTGCTGTCACGCAGGTCTCAACCGCTAAGTCTCTAGACAGCTTAGAACAACAGTTAAAAACTTCATTTAATAAAGCTACGTTATAATATGCTTGCCCATACTTCAGCCGATATTGTGCAACAAGGCAGATGGTGAACTAGGCATGCGTAACACCTGTCCCTGTAACCTGGGCACCGACGAAGACCAAACCTGGAGCAACAATTTCCATTCGGGTGAAGCGAAACGCATCCCAAACATTCTCAAGTTGCTACGCAAGGTGTTCGTTCAGAAGACTGAACCTTGTTAACACCACGTAACATGACCATATTTTCTGCGTATTGTTTGTTTGTCTACCAAAGATTCTATGTGCAAAAACTGTGATACAACATGAGTACATTACAACCTCAGTTCCTATGATACTACTACAACCAGGTGTGTGTATCTCAGCAAAGGTAGAGAAAATGAAGAGATTTCACGGGTCCGACTAACTTTGTCTCCGTAGCGTAGGGTTTTTCAGGGCTCTGTCAAAGTACTGAGGAGATCAGAAAGTTGTCCCAGTGGAACGCCATAGAAGACAAAAACCTGCTATTAATGGCAGAGGTAGGACAGTGTTTGTGAGATTTCCAGTCTGAATCCACAGTAAAACAGCCAGAAACATCTAAAACTGCGGATAGCATTGAAACTAAGACATTTGAGCTGCCTAAAACTGGTAACTGTAACAGAAGTACGAGATCTATAAGAAGAGTCTGTTGGTTGCAACCTTGTGTTCAAACAATTTACTTTCGGTAAAACATTGTTTTTTTCATTGCTGTTCTGATTCTTTAGCTAGTCAACAACTCTGCCATACCGTCAAGAATTTAACAAAACATTTTCGTACGAACCCGCGGACTTCAGAGCCTTTTCTTTCCTCCCCAACCTATTAGTCTGCAATAACATTCTGACCATTACAAATGTGGTTACTCTAAAACCTTACGATAAATAATCAGCATGGTAGGCTATCATAATCTACATACGTATACACTTTTAATTAGTTTGCATTCTGATAACAGATAATTTTTCTTTAACGTGTAGCACATTTATCGAAATTATTGAACGTAAAATTCCTCTTAACAGATGGCTTATTGCTGCATCAAACACAGATTGTATTGTATCTGTGTTCTAAGGAGGGGGTTAAGTAGCAGACATTCCATATTGAATTTGATGGCATACATAACATTGACCTTATAGTTTAATACTTGTTTAGGTGCCTTTATATAGGAAATTCTATTGCGTTTCTGCTGGTTTCAAAATGATTTTATCGTCAATAGAACGTCCAACTTCATACTCCGCGGTATCCCGTGCTTTCACGATGACGCAGCTGGATCAGCAATGCTAGGGATGATAAGAAAGACAATAGTTTTCAAGAACTTTATGTAAAGATTAGAGTCAGATAAGGCTCCAACAATACGGTTTATCAGAACCCTTACCATTGAAATAAAGTGGATGGAAGCTAAATCTAAACTGCTGGATAAGACAATGAGAAATGGGCAGATATCGATTAATACCATTCGATCAGAGGTAAAAAGGCAACTGGAATAACTGTTTATCAGTCCTTGATATGACATCTAATATGACATGAAAAACCACTGAAAAGACCAACGGATTCAAAGCAGTAACACCAGAAGCAGTAAGTACCCAAAAAGATGAAAGAGATTGAGAAACAGAACGCAAGGTCTAGATTACAGAGTAAGAGACCTACCTAGATTTTATGAAGATCAGTTTGTGTACCAAAATAATAGATGGCTTGAAGCTAGTAGTTAACACATGATTTCACCCAAGTGATCACGTGAATCTTCAGAAAAATCTGGCAGACAAATGGACAACTCTAGAGAAATGCTGACATAAAAATACTTGAAAATCGGCTACGTTTTTTACAACAATGCTTGTGTACACCAGTCTGCTCATGAACATGTGAAACACTAAAAAAAATAACCGACACCTAACCTAGTCGATAGAGAGACTACATTTTTCAGTTAGCATAATTACCCACCTTGAGACCTTTGAGTTTAATGTGCTAATGGATTCAAAGACCAGTTATCATTTTATAATTTTGTACACTGAAGACCAAGTAAGTTTCAAAGATGTTAACTGTTTGCATACCAGGCTGTGAATATTCTATCTCTTCAACCTAGAACTTTTGTGGGATGAGCTTACCAACTTCAGTCTGAATGTTATCTGTAATACTATTTCAAATAGAAAACCAGTATATTTTAGGATTTGCTGAACACTAGAGATTCGACAGCTGTGTCACTAATCTTAAGATGTGTTACCTACATGAGAACACATCGACTTAGTTTTTAATTAGTTGAATAAAAGATAACGATTAGTGCATTCCATTCTTCTTGACTGGTTTATGAATTTATGTCTCATTTACCTCATGACCATTTATTATCTCCACTCGGTCTAGGCATATATTTTCCTTCCACTGACATTATTTCGATCCTCTTAAATACATAAGAGGTACCTCTGTTCGGATGACTTTCAGTCTTTCAAGACCAGTCAGTACACACTATTCCGTCTATTATATGAAGTTATAAAAGTTGTAGCATACCTCTCTAAGCGAGCTGTTTCATGTATAAGTGAACCTTATTGAGACTCTTCCTAACCCGTTGTACCTTTTAACTCAATTTAGTGACGATAAAATTGACTAAACTCAACTTTTGACACAGGATTACTTGTGATAAAGGAAACTACTCGGCAAAGTTTTAGTTAGTTTACTTAATAATCAATAATGAGCACTTACCGAGAACGGGATGCCACATAGATGACAAAGACCAAACGTTGTCCTCTCACTAGTGAGGTTCGCAGTAGAGTTCATTTCTATTGGTCCATACGCTATTGGCATATGCAGAGGAGGTGTTAAACTTTCTGATAAATTACGTGCATACGACTGTTTTATCCACTGAATGGTCAAGCCCAAACGATTCCAAGGTCCCCTACACAGCATTAAAGCTAAAACGCGCAAACGGTAGTCAAAACTAGTTTCCCTTGACTTCTTTAAGGGCAATGAATCTTTTAGTCGGCGCGATAACTTCGGATTCTGCCATGCCCACTCAAACTGGAAAGATACACAGTTTTGCTCATCTTACAACTTACTCTTAAAGCAGATATGGAGTTCGGGAATCCATGAACAATTAAAACCATTTCCCTGAAAGATTAAAAACTATATACACAATACTAACCAAGGACCTTTACCACTCGTAGACTTTGCACCACCTTTTAAGCAACCAGCGTTGTGCTGCCTTATACGTCTATTAGGATCAACTGTAAAACCGATATAAGTTTTACCACGAAACTTCGGATTCAGAGACAAAAGAATATAGCATCCGTAGAAACCCTTAGTAATATCCTCTTGAACATCAGCATCATCAAAGCATTCGAAGCCATCCATATTACAAAGCCTAAAAAAAATTAATTTTAGAACACTGCAAAAAGCTTATCGATAAAAATAAGATCACCCGGATTCCTGTAAGAATACTATGCGAAAAAGTTGAACAATGTACACTGTCAGAATATACTATTGAGAAAACTAACAGGATCACCAAATTTATTTATAATCGTCACAAAGTACTATCCAATCCTATACTAACTTTCAGCACTACTTGACTACATACTAAGGAAAGGATAGCTTCAGAAAATATGGTAGACATCCTCATAAAAGTCCTAACCCCTTACTTTTAACAAGTTGGTCACTAACCCTAGCCATGTTTCTACCGAATAAAGGATTCGTGCGAAGTACTCCAAAACGTGAAAAACCGATAACATGTAGAAATATACGAACACCCTGACGGGACCTTCAGAGTTCTATTTGATTTACGTAAAATGCAAAAGACTGGTATGAGGCAGCAACATATGCACTACACATGAAGTTGAAAACAGTTAAACGATAACAGAAGCAATGGTAGAAACAAAGAAAACGTATCCACGCAATCAAACCGAAGTTTCTGCGCGCTTGTTTGCCTGCTTTACATCCATGGGAGATGAAAATATCACCAAAGAAGTCACTGACTGCTATAGAAGCATAATTATGTTGTATGTTGTTGAAAAGAATGGCATTGAAGATCACATCAAGTTTATTGAGGTGTCAACAGACGTCAATTTGCATGACCTCAGTTTACCCTGGTATGCTACAGGTAGTATTGTAGCTACAGTCATCATAAATCATCAACATAGGACCAGGCATTACTGTGTAACGGCCCGATTTGCCAAAGCCCATAATCAGTACATCAAGTAAAAAGGCAGTGAGGTGCAAGACAAAGATAAGAAAATTCAGTGAAAAAACAAAGTACGAGGAGAGAAAGGAAGAATGAGAAAATGGTGAGATTCGGTATAGCGCCGTTAAGATGAGGATGATGTATCTATACATCTGCGCCACTAAACACCCGTTCTCAGCCATAATATCTAGAGTTTCCAACCACTGGCTCCTTATGTCCCGCAGACCCCAACCGACTAGTCTGCATCGCCCCACAAGGCTCAAACCTACAATCAATGACTTCATACATTGGTGCCATGTTTTAGACTGGCCACCTCGGGCCTTTTTCCAGCCTGCACCTACTTCGGCCAACATTGTGTGACGACGCAGTCGGCGACTAGGCATGCGTAACGCATGTCCCAACCATCTCAGTCGATGAAGGTTCATAACCTCGTCAACTGATTTACCTCTACTCCCTAAAACTCTACACCTGACGTCTGCATTACTCACGTGGTGACACCACGGAATACGGCCTATACTACAAAGGCGACGGTGGTCAAACACCTGAAGCCTTCTTATATCTTCCACTTTCAATGACAATGTTTCACAGCCATACAGTAGAACAGAGGGGACTGCTGTGCAGTACACGCGACATTTAGTAGTAAAACGGATATCACGGTGGCACCATAGGTGGCGTAAATTGGCAAAAGCCAATCGAGCTTTTTGTATCCGTGCAGAGATTTCATCGGCCACTGGGCCAACAGGGCTGATCCTACTTCCCAGGTAAGTGAAGTGGTCAACACAATCACTACACTCTATTGTAAGCCGTGGCACCGTTGAAGACCAATCCTGGAGCAACAGTTTGCAACTGGGTAGTAAGAACCGCATCCCAAACATTCTCAAATTGCCACTCAGTGTTCAGAAGACTCTGCATCTTGTCAGCATCTTCACCTAACAGGACCATGTCATCTGCATATTGTAGGTCTAACGGAAATTCTCCTGAGATTGATCGGGCGTCGGAAGGCATGTCTCTGTTCAAGAACCTGGCGCAGTGTGAGTATTTGGTCGAATCACCCGCTACCGGGTCTAAAGCCTGCCTGGTTTTCTCGGGCTTGCTGTTCCCCAGCTCCACTCGGGTGTCGAAGAAATGTAGAACCTAGGATCTTGGACACTATGTTCGTCAGGCTGATTCCTCTGTGGTTATCACAAAAGGATTTCTCGCCTTTCTTGAAGACTGGAATAATCAGTGATTTAGATCAGTCAGAGGGGATCGTTTTGATTCCCATATACTGGTTAACACTTCTGTTAACCTAAGAGCACCTTACCACCATACTTGTATACCTCTGAAGTTAGTCCATCTGGTCCTGCCGCCCTCTCCCGTTTCAGGTTACCTACTGCTTTCTCGACTTTTGGAATTTGAGGGGCCTATCTCAATGTTCCATTCAGGATTCGAATGGATAGCGGGCAACGCAACGGTGGCTGGAGACCAGTTAAACTGTTCCTCAAAGTGTTCTACCTATCGTTCCAGTCGTCTACCCTGAGTGAATAGCAGACCCGTCCGTCTCCGCTATAGCCTCAGTAACTGTTGTTGACCGTTTCCCCCCAGTCTCCTAATAAGTCTAAATAACTGTCTACTGTTAACAACTGCCGCTGCCTTTTCCATCTCCTTAGCCTTCGCTGCCCACCAGTGTTCGCGGTCGTTGCGTAGACTTTTTCTCAATCTACCTTTAAGTTGCGCTCGCTCTTCAATGTACTCAGACCCGGCAGAGATGCGTTCACGTGCATCCATTAGTTCGGAAGAAGCTGCTGCTATCCACTGGCTCTTTTTAGCCACTACTTTGGAGCCGGCTACGGTTTTCAGCGCTACGTTTACAGCAGACTGAAGATGACACCAAGCCTCTTACGGATAAGTGACAGTCTTTTGTTCCGATAACCGCCTAGCCAACTTCTCACTGAACACGGCTTTGATGTTTTCATTGTCCAGCAGCACCCGTAGTGGTTTTGTTGCCAAATTTTTACTACGTTCATTGAGACGCAGGTTTATACGCGCTTGAACCATTGCGTGGTCGCTATCCAAACACGCACTCCAGAAGGAGTGCGAGTCTCCCACCAATCCTCTCCAGCGATGAGTAATAGGAATCTCGTCTATTTGTGCCAATCGCTGAGTTGAGCTCGGTGGACGCCAGGTCAGATAGTGTCTTTTTTTATGTCTGAAATTTGTGCTAGCTAAAAATAGGTGGTTATCTGAGCATAGTTGTAGTAGACGATCACCGTTATCTGTGCGTTCAGTCGGGACTCAGAAAGTGCCACTTAAGTGCCTTTCTGCTTCATTCAGTTTACCCACCTGTGCATTGAAGTCACCTGCAACGTTTAGCTTTCGAGAGGAGGCTAGACATTTAACGGTAGAACTCGTCCTTCACTTCATCCGAGCTGCAGTCAGTGGGTGCGTAAGCACAGATTACAGAGACAACGGCGAGTCTCACTATTCCTTTTAGTTCTCACCCTGCCGTTCAGCCTTATAGCGCAGAGGCGACTATCAACTGGGATCCAGTCTAGTAGTGAGTTTTCTGCCCTAGTACTTAATGTTATGCCTACACCTGCAAGACCACGAGAGCTAGCTATCTAGTCTCCAGAAACTCGAATGGTGAATTTTGCGGATTCACCAGATTGGTCAGTTAAATAACCGCACCTGGGTCCTGTATGTGTCGCACATATCCTTGCCCCGAAATGCTCGAGCCTTTGCCAACGAGGCCTGTTGACCAATTTGACGGAGGGTGCGGACATTGAAGGCTCCAATATGTAATTTAGAGCGTGGTTTGAGAAGACCACGGATGCTGTTTTTTATGGACGCAGCCTTTTGTATGATTATTTTGAACTTTTGTATTTTTGTGGCCGGATGGTTGAAAGAAACGACAAATGAACCAACACCACCGGCTTGGCAGACCGTGGAGTATAGTGTAGTGTTATTTTTGGGGCCGACCTTTTCTTACCACCCCCTTCCGTTGAGAAGGCAGCATCAGCATGGCACTGGTCATCCAAGAGGAACACCTTACTGCTGTCATACCCCATCCAGCTCAGCAGTAGTACGACTTCGCCCTCAAACCCCCATCATAGTGTAATAATTTACACCACAACGGTAACTGCTTTTCGTCTAACTACTATCCAACAGACCCTTCTGGTATGGTAGGACCTCGAGGCAACAAGTTTCCCACCAGCATAGCTCGTTGGGTCATTGTGATATGCAAGCCCGACCACCACGTCAAGGTAGCAGCTATCAGTCAGTAAACAACATTCGGGAGTGCAACTACTGGAGCAAAACTTTCCAACCACTGAATCTAGTTCCGGGAGGTGATAATAACTATTTTCGCAACACTGAACCATCTATCACAAACCTTAGTCAACATAATGCTTTGGACAGACGACTTTTAACAATCAAGTTACAGGCATACATAATGGCGACTGAAACTCAAATTAGTTATTGAGTCGCACCTCACTTCATATAATATTTAAAAGATTCCCAACTGTTCCGGAGACATCAGAGGTCGAATACATAGTGATGTTAGGCATTTCAGTTGGAGCTGGCTACATTCTGGACCGGTAGCTGTTACCTTGATGCGGTGCTCAGGCTTGCCTAACAATGACCTGACGAGCTAAACTGGCTACATCGCCTGTTCCGCGTAGTCCGACCATATTAGAAAGGTGAGATGGATAGTAATGAATAGTGGATCTGTGGCTCATTGGTTTAGGAAGATGACAATCAACGAGCATTGGTTCGAGCCCCGTTTCACCTATCGAGCCTCGGGAAGCCAGGCGGCACAGTTAGTTCAAACACAAAAGGTAAGGCTCACTGCCGACTGAACAGATGTGCACAAGGTAGATGAGTACATTGCTAGTCAAGAAGAAAAGCAGTTACCATTAAAGCGTAAACTGCCACCCTACGGTGGAGATCCGAGGGCGAAGTCCTACTGCTGGCTGGACGGGATGTGTCAGAAGTAAGATGTTTCTCACAAATGGTCAGAAGCAGCATGCACATGATGCCCTCCCTATCAGGGAGGGTTAAGAAAAGTTGCCCCTGAAAACAGTTGTCTTCTGGTGCTGTTGATATGTGTTTTGTCAATCCAGCGTCACGACCGAATCTCAAGCTAACAATCCTAAAAAGGCTGTGACAGGCTTCAAGCAGACGTCCCACAGCCTCTGCGGTCACACGATTCTCTTCCTTTTTTCATTTTCAGTTAACCAGCAGAAAAAACTTTCATGATGTGGACAGCCACGAAATACCAACCGCCTGCACGCTTTCAATAGTATACAAAACCCAGTCAAACAAAATCCTCCCTTCTCACCTCTATCTGCTCCTGTCCCTTCACATCCTAGTAGCAATAACTGCTCTTTTACAATTTTCTCAACCTCCTACTCTGCGATCATTGCTGACGACCTAAGCCAGTGAAACATAATTCCTAATTTCATAAAAACCCGCTATCGACCTTACACTAAAGCCTTTAACATCAAAATCCTACGCCAAAGCAACCAGAAGGCATCGCTAGCCAGAATTCTGCAATCTCCACCCACAGATACTGTTTTCCCAAGGTAGGCATACAAGACCCGATTGTAGTTGTTCCCTTGACCTCCACCTGGTCATTGCGGTGTTTTTACAATCCCTTATACGACTATCCGGAAACTCAATGGCTAGCTCTTGTAAACTCACTGGTGTTGACACAGCATTAAGTTCCCGAACAGAAAGCACACTTCTTGACTAGATACCAGTCAAC